CACACTTTCCCAAAAGCAAGTCAAGTATTAAAAACCTTGGGCTCCATTCCCCTCTATCAAAAAAGCTCACGCAAACCCGCTGGAAGTCCAAAGCCCCCTTTACCCCCCCCCCAACCCCTTTTCCCAGGCCGACCCCTACCCCCCCTTCCTTCCCCTACAGACTGATCACTCTTGAAGTCATTCTGTTTTGTCCCTTCTCGGGCTGTCGGGAACCCCCTCAACAACCCTGCCCCCAGGGCCTTTTGGACAAAAAAGTTTTGGGGGGTCCCCCTCCCCTAAATTCCAAATTACGAATTTCTGCCCTTATAAAACCCCAACCCCATTCCCTCAACATGACATCTCCACTGCCCAGCCTTTTTCCCCGCTGCAACATTCATCACATGCTTACACCCCTATAAGAGCATTGGTAAAACTTAAATCTCATACATTCCCCTCTTTGCCCAAAGGGGCAAAATCTTTGTCTCCACAGGAAATCCTAAGTTCAAACCATAAACCCTTTTTCCCCCCATTCCCTTATCTTTCAAAAGAACCATCCGCAAAACGTTCCCTCCCAAATTTTTGAATCATTTTACCCCCCTCAATACTCTCCCCCTCCAAACTGATATCCAATCTTTCATACCTAATCTTTTTTTTTTCCTCATAACCTTTTCTTTCCTGTATTTACTTTTAAAATTTTTTTCTTTTGACACCCTACCAAATTTCATCCCCAACCCCCTTTTTTTGCAAAATTCTCTTCGAATTCCCAAAAGCACATTTTATTTAGGGAAAGCGCAATGTGACAAATCCCTTTGTGTGGAATTCTTACTTTTAACTCCCGCCTCTTGCCCAAGGGCCCTCGCATTTACTTTTCTTTCAACCCCTTTTAATTTTATTAAAAAAACCCCCGGTGAAATCACAATCTTAACTAATACCTACTTTTACTGGGAAAAAAATTTCCCCCTTTCCTACATTCTCTAACTTGAGCCTCACTATCCTCGTATTTAAAATCTTCCCGTTTTCAGTAACCCACCTCCTTTCACCATACACCCGCAACATCTGCCACTTTGCCCCCTATCCACCCTGTTAAGCCTTTTTCCCAAAACCCTAAATGCCACAAAAAAACCTCTTTTGCCTTATCTAAATACTGTTTTACTTATATGTTTCACTGTAAAACACCTGGGCCAACCCCCTACCTTTCCTAAAGCCCCCTTATTCATTTTTGGGATCCCCATTCTCCGTGTTTTTTTAATTCTTTCAATAAAAACCCCTACCCAAAATACTTTTCCAGGTTTCTCAACAGGGCTTTAAACCCCCATTTTAAATTTTTTCACTCTCTTTTTTTCCTCTTTTTCCCTTTTTACAAAGGAAATTGCATGCTCTTGCCAATCCCTAGGTCCCCTTTCCCTCTTCCATACAATTTTTTTAAATAATTGGGACCACCACCCCCAAAAAATTTTATCCCCAAACCCGCTTTTAAAATTTTTATTTTAAACCATTCCCAAAGCCCGGTGCCTTTTTTTCCCCCTTTCATTTTATATGCCCCAGAACTTCCCCACACTCACAACTTGGGTCTTCCTCACTCCTACAAAGGGTGTTAAATTTCCCTTTGCCCTTTTCCGAACCCCACGCTTCCCCAAACTTCATCAACATTTAAAAAAATTCCCGAAAAAATTCCTCCATTTTCCCCAAAACCTCTAAAATCTCCATTTAATAAATTCCTCTTTTTTATTTGTAATGAGAAAACCATTTGTTTTTCTAGGTTCCCTTAAATTGTTAATCTCATCCCAAAACTTTTTCTTATTTTCAACAAAATTTGTTGATAACATCTCACCCACTCTCTCATTTGCTCTCTTTTTACATTGCTTCACCACTCTCTTAACCTCTCTCTTTTTCTCCATATACTCTTCCCTCCTTGCATCACTTCTACTTTGTAAAAAACTTCTCATATACTAACTTTTTCTCCCTTACTGCTCTCTTTACATCATCATTCCACCAATCGTCCCCTTCCCTCCCGCACCCACTTTCCTGTAACCACAAACTTCTGCTGAACACTCTAACACTACATTTTTAAACCTACCCCATACCTCTTCGACCCCATTTCCTATGCTCTCATTAGCCCATCTATCCTCCAATAGCTGTTTATAACTTACCCTAACTGCCTCCTCTTTTAGTTTATAAACCTTCACCTCTCTCTTCCCTGATTCTTCTATTCTCCTTGTACCCCATCTACCTTTTACTCTCAGTGTAGCTACAACTAGAAAGTGATCTGATATATCTGAGGCCCCTCTATAAACATGTACATCCTGAAGTCTACTCAACAGTCTTTTATCTACCAATACATAATCCAACAAACTACTGTCATTTTGCCCTACATCATATCTTGTATACTTATTTATCCTCATTTTCTTAAAATATGTATTACCTATAACTAAACCCCTTTCTATACAAAGTTCAATCAGAGGGCTCTGATTATCATTTACACCTGGCACCCCAAACTTACCTACCACACCCTCTCTAAAAGTTTCTCCTACTTTAGCATTCAGATCCCCTACCACAATTACTCTCTAAATTGGTTCAAAGGTCCTATACCTTCACTTAACACCCTCCCAAAATCTCTCTCTTCCTCTACATTCCTCTCTTTCTCCAGGTGCATACAGCTTATTATGACCATTTTTCACATCCAAACCTTTTATTTTTAACCCACATAATTCTTGAATTTCCCACATTCATTTCTCTTTTCTCCTTCCTTAACTGATCCTTCAAAAATACTGTTCCCCCTTTTCCTTTGCTCTAACTTTCAGATCCCCCTAAAATCAAACCCCCTTTTTTTCCCCCCCCCAAAACTCCCCTCCCCCCTTTTTCAGCTTTGTTTCGATTAGGGCCAGGACACCCAAAATTCTTTTTTTAATAACATCAGCAATCATTTTTTTTCTGGCATCTCCCACTAAAATCCCGAAACATTGAAGCACCCCGGGTTTTATATAGTTTTTCTTTTTTTTTTTAGTAAATGTCTACGGGAAAGGGGTTTACTACCCCTTTGCTTCCGACCATTTGCGCCTCATACGACACGCAGGTTTAAAACGGAGGAAGATTTTTTTCCCACTTCCCCCAGGACAATAGAAAAAAATAAAGAAGAACAAGACTATTTAAAAAAGGGGAAAAAAACCAGATGTATTTAAAATATATATGCATGTGCTGCCCTGGGGAAATGTGCCAAAGTTTAAGTAGGAGTAAAAAGGATATCCCTTTTATCAGCTTTTTTGAAAAACAGAAAAAAAAAATAGGTTCTAATAATTATCATAATCTATTCTGGAATTTTGCTAGTATCTTCCTAAAAAAAATGAGAGAAGTAAAATTGAAAATTTCACACATATCCTTAACCTGTCAGTGATCTGCCCTGATTTAAAACCTTTTTAAGTGGCCCTATCTTGTCCCTAATTCCCTCTGTAAAGCTGAAAAAACCCTTTTGGGTTTTGTCTTTTGAATTCCTTGCAACCTAGCCTCATAAACCCCCTTTTTTCTTTTTTTTCCCTTTTTTATTCTTTAAAATTAAAAATTTTTATTTCTTAAACTGCTCCCTTTCCCTTTTTTGATACACCTATATTCCTCTTATCCTCAATATCAGGCGTGGGAAAGGGGCCCCGGGGTTGCTCCAGAGGGTTTTTCCTTCCCCTTGGAAAAAACATATAAACACTACCAGACCGATGCCCACGCGTACTACTGCCGCTTCACTGGGGGAAAATTCCAAAATCTCACTGTAATAGAACTGCTTTCAAAAGGCCTTGAAATCCTATCACTACATGCAAAAATCTGGGTGTTGTACACACCCCAAAATTTTTCCCCTTTCGTCCTGGTACAGGGCGAAAAGTGAAAAAGAACAAAGGCCCGGGCCCCGCAAAACCCGAGGTGGAAGGTTGTTTGGGGCATCTGGGTTTTCATCACTAAATTTCGTTATCCCCGGGCACTTTTTCCGGTAAAACTCACTTTAAAACCCGGTTCACGTCAATGACCTTTTTATCGCTGTTAGAGCTACACTTGGGAGCAAAAGACCTCCAGTCCGCCCAGGAGTGAGGGAAAATTTTTACCGAGAGGCTTTGGGAAAAAGGGCTAACAACATGGCCCTTTCCCCTAAAGCAAAAGCTGGGCCCCCGATTTTTTTACGGGGGGCACACCGACCACGGGGACCCATTCTCTCTTTATGGGAGGCCCAAACCCGGCCTTTCGCGCCCTTTATTTGAAGCCCCTAGAATTTGTGCAATAAAACTTTAGAAACATTTGGGTCCCTAAGACGTATTTATACGTCGGAAACAGTCAAAGGGTTAATCCAAAAACACGGTCAAAGTTTTTTTTTTCTCATTACGCACTGTGTGCTGCAGGATTTTTTTTATACTGCGCACACTGACCACATAGACCCATTCTTTCATATGTAGGCCTACCAACTTTCTCTCACTAGATTTGAGGGCGCTAGAATTTAGGCGTACTAGTACGTCAAAAACCCTGGGACGTCAAAAACCCTGGGTTAATGAGATTAGATCAATATATTGAGAGCCTAAATCTGAAACAAAATTCAGTATTCAGAAAGAATTTGATATTAGTATTATTAGCATATTCCAGATTCTATAAACCTTGCAAATTTTGGGATCAACTGTGCAAAGAAAGCAATTTTGCTTGTTTCCTTTTGAAAGAGAATTAAAACGGCAGTGTCAGAACATAAATCAGAAGCAGTGGATTAAATAAAGAAAATTAGAAATATCTCCATTATTCATAGTTGTCTTGCTGGAAACGTATTGACACCACAATCCAAATGACTCTCCTAGTCACAGTTGCTGACATGGTAAAATAAAACAAAATTCATTTTAAATTAAAATTCAATTATAAGAAGGTTAGATTAAAAAATTTAAATCATATTGTATATTATGCTGTATATCAGGCTGGAAAATGCTTCTATGGTCATTAGAATACAGTACATTATACAAATAATATTTACTGCTTATAAAAGTATGAATTTAATAAACCTTCAGGTACAAAAGGACCCTGTGTTCTTCATGCTTGAGAAGGACAAGGAAATTTACCCTACAGTTTACATGCTCTGGAGACACCCAGATCTTTTGCACATCTTTACCACACACGCACAGGTCATTGATGTCTTAGCAGGTGGAGCAGATCTCATGTTACCTGGAATTATTACAAAGGGGGAGGTAAGTTTTTTTGGTTGAATTGTTAAAAATGGTAAAACCCATTATAATAGGTTCCATTGCTAAAAATATAGTGACAATTTGTCCATAATCTGAAGTAAGCAGGTTTTAGTTGTTTTGTATCGCTTCTTTAAATAAGTCTTTTATTGGGTATTACAATCGAATTCTGATCTATTTGAGGGTGATAGCAGCTGTCTAACCATTTTCCCCCTTTTTTCAAATTTTTTTTGTATTTGTCTTTTTGATGTATGCTTTTGCTTATGACTATGTTTTGGGAAATTTGAAAGAAGGGCAAAGGTTGTAATGTTTTTGGTTGTTTAAAATGTGCGTGGATGTGTGGGGAAAGACAAGAAACAGTGATTGCTGATTTTATGAATGAAAAAATTGGGATGTCCGGGCCCCAAACGAAACAAAGCTAAGGGGGGTAGGAGGTTTCAGGGGGGGAAAAAATGGGGAAAAAATCTGGAGTATTGAGAGAGTTAAGAAAAGGAAGGGGAGCAAAATGTTAAATGATCAGTTTGGAAGGGAAAAGAGAATATGAAGGTAAATTCAAGAATTATGTGGTTTTAAAGAAAGTTTGGAGCGGAAGGGGGTCATAAAAAGGTGTATCACCGGGGAAAAGAGAGGAATGCAAGGAGAGAGAGAGATTTTGGGGATGTTAAGTAAATGTTAGGACCTTTAAACCCAAAGTGAGAGGTAATTGTGTGGGGGGATTGAATGCTAAAGTAGGAGAAATTTTTAGAGGGGTGTGGTAGGAAAGTTTGGGGTCCCGGTGAAAATGAAATGGGGCCTTTGATTGAACTTTTATAGAAAGGGGTTTATTATGGGTTTAATCATATTTTAAAAAAAAGAGGATAAATAATTTAAACGATATGATGTGGGGCAAAAATGACTATTTTTTGGGATTTGTTTTGGGTAATAAAAGACTGTTGATAGACTCAGGATGACATGTTTATAGAGGGGCCACAGATATATCAGATCCTTTCTAGTTGTAGCTACACTGAGAGTAAAAGTAGAGGGGTTTACAAGGTAATAAAGATCAGGGAAAGAGAAGGTGAAGTTTAAAACAAAAGGGAGGCGTTGGGGAAAGATAAAACCCTATTGGAGGATAGAGGGGCTAATGAGAGCTAGGCAAGGGGGCGAAGGGGTTTGGGGGTGGGTTTAAAAATGAGTGTTAGATGTTCAGCAAAGTTTTGGTTACGGGAAAAAGTGGGTGCAGGGGGAAGAGGAGCGATTGGGGGAAATGATGATGTAAAGGGTAGTAAGGGAGAAAAAGTTAATAGGGAAAGTTTTTACAAAGTAGAAGTGATGAAAGGAGGGAAGAGTAATGGAAAAAAAGAGAAAGTTAAGAGAGTGGTGAAGCATGTAAAAAGAGAGAAAAATGAAGAGTGGTGAGATGTTATCAACAAATTTTTTTAAAAAATAAGAAAAATTTTTGGGGTAGATTAAAAGTTAAGAAAGTAGAGAAAAAGGGATTTGTCAGTTAAAAATGGGAGAGGAGAGTTATTAAATGGAGATTAGAGGTATTGGGAAGATGAAGGAATATTTTGAAAAATTGTTAAAGTTGAGAAGATGGGGAAGTGTGATTTGTGTATAGGGCGGGGAAAAAATTGTAGGAGTGGGGAAGACCATTTGTGGGGTGGGGGAAGTTCGTGAGGCAGTAGGTAAAATAAAAGGGGGTAGGCAGCCGGGTTGGGGGGATAAAGATAAAAATGTTAAAAAGCGGTGGGGAATATTTTTGGGAGGGGTTTGGGTGAAATTTTTTAAAAAAAAATGTATGGAAAGGAAAGGTACCTGGGGGTTGGCAGAGGCATCTTTTTTTGTATAAAGGCAAAGGGGGGATAAAAGGGGTGAAAAAATTTATGGGGGGATAAGTCTGTTGAGTGTACCTGGTAAAGTGTAGGGTAGAGTTATAATTGAAAGAATTAGGTAAGACGGAGAATAGGATAGCAATGAAAAAGGGAGGCTTTAGGGGGTAGGGGGGGTGTGGCCCCAGGTTTTTAAACAGTGAAACATAAAAGTAAACATATTTAAAAAGGGCTAAAGAGGTCTTTGTGGCATTTATGGATTGGAAAAAGGCGTAGACAGGGGGATGGGGGGGGGCAATGTGGCGATGTTGAAAGTGTAGGTGTAGGAGGTAGGTTACTGAAAGAGTGAAGATTTTTTACGAGGTAGTGAGGCTCGGGTTTTGAGTGTGTGGGGAAGGGGGGAAATTTTTTCCATAAAAAAAGGCCTTAGACGGGATGGGTGTCACGGGTTGTTTAATATATTTATAGAGGGGTTTTTAAAAAGTAAATGCGGGGGCTTGGGAAAGGCGTGGAGTTAAAAGATAAAAAATACACACAAAGTGGGGGTTGTCCAGCTGCTCTTTGCTGATACCGTGCTTTGGGAGATTCTGAAGGAAGTTGCAGGATTGGGGATGAATTTGGAGGGGGTGCAAAAAGAAGAAATTAAAAGGTGAATACGGAAAAAGTAAGGTTATGAGGATAACAAAAAAATTTGGGGATGAAAGATTTTATCAGATTGGAGGGAGAGATGGAGGAGGTGAAAGTATTCAGAATTTGGGGTGGATGTCAGCAGATGGGGCATGAAAGATGAGGGAAACAAGAATTTATGAGGGGAAAAAAAGTGAGTGGGGCACTTAGGAGTCGTGGGACAAAGAAATTTTTCCTTGGAGGGAAAAGGGGGAAAGTATGAGAGTATAGTTTTACCAAAAGTCTTATTGGGTGTGAAAGGGGGGGTGAATTTGCAGCGGGAAAGGTGGGGGCAGTGGAGATGTCTGTTAGGGCAATGTGGGTGTGAATATAAAGAGAGAATTTGAGTTTTGGAAATTAGGAGGAGGTGCGGGATTACCAAAACTGTTGTCCCGAGGGTGAGGAAGGGGTTTTTGGGTGGTTCGGAAATGTAGAGGATGGGGCAAAAAAAGAAGATTCAAGGGTATCATCTGTGGGAAGGAAGGGGGGGTAGGGGGCGGCCTAAGGGGGGTTGGGGGGGGGGTAAAGGGGGTTTTGTGTGCGGGGGCTTGGATTCCAGCGGATGCGTGAGGGTTTAAAAGGAGTGAATGGAGACAAATGGTTTTAATCTTTAGTGCTGTTGGGGTTGGCAAAGTAACATTTATAAGGGATTCAGGGAAACCGGCAGGCGGACTTGAGTCCCGGAAGGGGAAATACAGTGCCTGCCTCTGAAGGAGGGGTTTAAGTTGAGTTTAAAAAAATTTGTGTAAAGCACCCTTCGGCAAGACAGTGATGGGTGAATGTGGTGAAAGTTTTTCTTTTTCGGGCCACCTGCCTTGGGGGGGAATCGGGGGGGGGTGTAATAAAAAAAAAAAAAATGCAAAAGAAGGGAAAATTAAAAATAAAAATAGGGGCTTTTTATTAGTATATGCATTGATGTCAGAGGCCTGTATACCATGTACATTTTTTTTTTTTTTTTTTTTTTAAAAAAGTCGGACGTCTCCCACCCAGGGAGGGTGACCCCAAAAAAAAAAGAAAATCCCCCAAAAAAAAAATACTTTCCCTCTCTTAACACTTTCACCACCTCGACATTATCACTTTTTTGCAGAGGTGCTCAGAATACAAATCTAGAAAATAACTATAAAAAATACACAAATATTTCCCCAAACTGCCCAAAATCCAAACCTCCTTTTAAACCCTTTTAGGGTTTTTGTCGTACGTTTTGTCTTACGCGTAGGGGTTTTTGACGTACTAGTAATATAAAATTCTAGGGCCTCAAAACTAGGGGGGGAAAGCTGGTGGCCTTTTTTTGAAAGAAGGGGCTATGTGGCAGTGGCGCAGTCTAAAAAAATCCGCAGCACACGTGAAATGGAAAAAAAAAAAATTTAACCCTTTTTTTTTAAAAAATCAGCGACTTTGATGTATTTTGTAGGTATTTATTTTTGTATTCTAGTTTTCTTGTCTCATTTTTTAGAAGGAAGACATATGATTTTGACTGGTTTTACAAGAAAAATGCTTGAAATTGAGTCAAAGTACAGAAATTTTCGATTTTTTCCAATTCAAAAGTAAACAAATCGTGCCAAGCATGCAATACCGTAAAGGGGAGTCTAATATTCTTTTCCCAATGCACCAATAATTTTATATCATTTTTTACACTAAATTGTGCACACTAAAAGCACCTTCAAGGCATGAAATTGCACCTAGAAAATGTACAAGAACTTTCACGGGCCATTAAAGGGGATAAAACACCTCAATTATTTGGGGGGTTGAGGTTCCTAAACCTGATTCCCCGGGAAGAGGGGGGAAAACATGATTAAACACCTGGAAAATCCTAAGGATAGTAGAACTTGCACACGAAAATCACCCCCTACGAAGCAAAAGACTTGGCAGAGATGCACCCTCCCCCCAAAGAAAAGCAGGGGGGTATCACTTTTAAAAGACCATACAATAATGTCAGGGGGCCCGAGACTGTTCAACTGCCTCCCAGCACACATAAGGGGGATTACCAACAGACCCCTGGCAGTCTTCAAGCTGGCACTGGACAAGCACCTAAAGTCAGTTCCGGATCAGCCGGGCTGTGGCTCGTATGTTGGTTTGCGTGCAGCCAGCAGCAACAGCCTGGTTGATCAGGCTCTGATCCACCAGGAGGCCTGGTCTCAGACCGGGCCGCGGGGGCGTTGACCCCCGGAACTCTCTCCAGGTAAACTCCAGGTAATGCAGTAGTCTGCATAACAGTAAATCTTATATTTTTTGTGAGAATAAAAATTCAAAGTGGAAAGCAAAAGAATATAAGAGGGGCCATGAGACGTGACTAATGACTAGAGGAAATGTCATTTTAGTGCCAGGAATGTCTTTCTTGTTTATTCTGGACCCTATTCTGAAATTGGCATCTTTTGAAATTTGTGTGAAATTGGCAAAATTGCTAAATTCTGACCACTGTACTGGATAGTTGAATTTATAAATGGGTGGTTTCTTGCACCCATTCGATAGAAAAATGGAGTTCTAGCGAAATATTCATGTTTTTTGTCGACTAGTGCAGTGAAATTGGCCGAAAATGGGGCTCAAAGTGGGCAAAATCGCCGATGCGTAAACATCGCCGAGACCGCTAACTTTGCGAGAGCATAATTCCGTAAGTTTTCTATCAAATTTCAAACTTTTGGTGTCGTTATGATCGGGAAAAGATTCTCTATCTTTTCATAAGAGAAAATAATTTTTTTTTTTTTTTAAATTTGGCCGACCCTGAGAACGACTTTCGGAGAGGGCCTGTCGACCCTCAAAGGGTTAAAGTGCAGGCATTGTACTTCCCATTTCCAGGACTCAGGTCCGACTATATGAAAATAACCGATTTCCCTGAATCCCTTCACTAAATATTACCCTGCTCACACTCCAACAGATCGTCAGGTCCCAAGTACCATTCGTCTCCATTCACTCCTATCTAACACGCTCACGCACGCTTGCTGGAAGTCCAAGCCCCTTACCCACAAAACCTCCTTTACCCCCTCTCTCCAACCCTTTCGAGGACGACCCCTACCCCGCCTTCCTTCCCCTATAGATTTATATGCTTTCCATGTCATTCTACTTTGATCCATTCTCTCTAAATGACCAAACCACCTCAACAACCCCTCTTCTGCCCTCTGACTAATACTTTTATTAACTCCACACCTTCTCCTAATTTCCACACTCCGAATTTTCTGCATAATATTTACACCACACATTGCCCTTAAACAGGACATCTCCACTGCCTCCAACCGTCTATTTTTAAAAAAATAATTCTTATAACACTTCTGCTTTGTAAAAACCTCTCATAAGCTACCTTTTTCTCTTTTATCACACCCTTTACTTCATCATTCCACCAATCACCAATCACATGTACCTGTAGTAAATAAAGATATTGTTATTAGTATATAGGAATGAGCTATGTGATGAGAGTAACCAAAAATTTAGATAATGAAAGATTGGATGTATGTTTAGAAGGATGGAATATGGAGGAAGTGAATGTGAATGACAAAAAAAAGAAAAGGTGGGTAGTGCATTAAGGAATCTGTGGAGACAAAGATTATTATCTATGGAGGCAAAAAGGGGGATACGTATATCAGTTTAGTGGTACCAACATTCTTATAAGGATGTGAAGCATGGATTTTAAATATTACAGCGAGGAGGAGGATGGAGGCAGTGGAAATGTTGTCTGAGGGCATTTTGCAGTGTGAATATTGTGCAGAGAATTTATAGCTTGGAGATTAGGAGGAGGTGCGGGGTTACTAAAACTATTATCTAGAGGTCTTTGGAGGGGTTATTGAGGCAGTTTGGAGGGTGTAAAAATCTGTAGTTAAAGGAAGGGTGGAGGGAGGGGGAAGTAAAGGAAACTTTGTATGCATGGGGCTTGATCATCATTCTGGCATGTGTGTGTGTGTTAGGAATGAGTGGAGGCAAGTGCTTTTTATGATGTGCTGTTGGGGTGTGAGCACGGTAACATTTATGAAGGGATTCAAGGAAGTCCTTTAGTTTGACTTGATTCCTGAAGGTGGGAAATACAATGCACGCACTCTGAAGGAGGGTTGGTGATATTGCAGTATGGAGGGGCATCTGAGCTGTAATGTCAGCTTGCCTTTAGCAAGATAGTGATGGAGTGAGTGATGGTGAAAGTGTTTTCTTTTTTGGGTTACCCTACCTTGGTGGGAGACAGCTGGTGAGTTTAAAAAAAATATTTTTAGAGTTTGGCTTTTCCTTCAAGTTATTTGACTGTCAGTAATGATTTATGTTTTGACACTGTCATTTTCATCTTTAGCCTTCATATAAGGCAATACTATAGATTATACATTACGATTAATATTGGTAGATTATAATATATTTACATTGTCTTTGTAAATACATTGTAATAACTTCCTGCTCATTCTTATTACTACAGTTCAGTACCAGCTTAAAAAAATTTCCTGTGTAGAAACATAAAACACTGTTTTTGTTTCTTAAATATTCATTAATATATAGTGAATTACAGTACAGCCTAATTAGAAATGCTTGAGAAAGATACAGTCTTCAGTGTTTGACTGTGAATAAAAAAGTGTTGTCTGTAAAAAGCATCCTGCTTGCAGTACAAATATTATTTGCAAAAAAAAAAAAAAAAAATTGTACAGTATGGCGTTTTAATGGATTTTACATGACATATTGTACCATTCAGGGTAATGCACTCCACAGATGAACCCGTCTTCGTATGGCAAGTTTGAGAAAGGCTTCCCTGTTGCAATCAACACTACAGACAACAAAGTTCCTCTTGCTGTTGGTGTCACTGCACATAGCTCAATGGATATGTATATGTGTGGAAGACATGGGAAAGGAGTTAGCATCTTGCATGTTTACAGAGATCAGTTATGGGAAATGGGTACCAGAAGTCCACCACCCAATTTGGGGCCACCTGACATAATGCTGAGTGGTCAGGTTATTTTAGGTTAGTGTTAGCTAATAATCCTGTATTATGGCTACTGGTACCCTTAATTTTTTCTTTCTATTATTTGTATGTGATAAATGTCAGAATAACTTACATTGAGGCAAAATGATTGAGAACTACTGAAGATTGACATTATTCTACTCTTATTATTCTTAACCAAACATTCTTAATTAATTTTTTAGTTATTCAACTTAGCTACTGTTGCACTTTCTTGCACATGTTCTCATGAGTAATTGTTGTATTCCCATATTGTCCTTCACAAACATATTCAAACTCTAAATGAATTTATCATTGGTTTTAACTCCTTGTATTGTACAGTATTAAGCAATTTTTACCAGTCTGTTATATTTTCATGTATTCCAGAAATTTATCCTGTAGCACCACAGTATATCCTTATCCTAAGATCTGTTAAAGTAACTTTACCTCCACATACTTCTCTCTCTCTCTCTTGCTCTTGACCCAGTAATATGGTGCATGTTGTTAATTCCTGCTGTGCTTTAAAGCATAAAGTTTTTGCAATCATACTTTAAAAGTTTTAAAAAGTATTCTATCAAGAGCACTAAATAATTTTCTTGTACTGTATATACTTTTTCATTTTTTCCCATTCATTATTCACCAAACACCAACAGATCTTATTTCTTAATGCTGTTTTCAACTTTTGCTTTCCAAATTGCTAGTTTTTGTAAACTATAAATGCTAAATGTAAGATTTTGTAAAGCAGTGAATTTTGTTCTTATCTACAATGTGTATTTCCATTTATTCGGTTAAATGTCATCCACATGAATATTAAGCTGCCATTTTTAATCCTCTTCAAGTACATTCTAAACTTTTCATTTATATAAATTCTCACGTATTATAATATATTGCTTTTACATACTTCGTTAAAGAGGTATAATTGTAATTCATTATCATATTCCTCTGATACAGTGCATGATGTATAAGGAAAATTATCATAGCTTTCATTATCTTTTAAAATAAAATACGTAATTTTCTCAGGTGAAGTTTTATCAATTACATTAAATTTTCAGAGAGTGAAGATGGTGCTGCAGAAATTATAGGTGATGGTGAAACAAATGAGAACGAAATTGTAAAGGAGCCTTCTCCAGAGCAGGTGATAGATGCTGTTCAAGAGCTGGATTTGGGAGATGATCAAACACCTGATAGTAGTAGCAGCCTCAGTCCGGAAACCAGCACGCCTCAAGAAGAAATAGTTCAAACAACTAGTAGGTTGGGAAGCAATTTATACATTGTATAGTATGCATCCTATTAATAGGAAATCTATTGCTTATAGAGGTTCCCCATGATCAAGAGCAAAACTTTAGGAAGTGATCATTCATCATTATTTTTTTTCAACAACTCTTCTTTTTAATATATAGTTGAGGGTTACTTCTTGAGGTTTCGTCTTTCTGTTTGCACATTTTCTTGTTCTCTCTCAGGCTACATGCTCTGCTGGGCTAAAACTCCCCTATTCTCTGTGAAGTCATTCTCGTATTAAAAAAAAAAAATGACTTCCAGTATGAGTCACTGTATATATATAATTGTTGAAATGCAAACATCTTACGTATTGATTTTTCGTAAAACATTTTGAAAGGTGCTTAGCTATGAATTAATGCTTAGCAAATTCACTTTAAATATAATTGCAATGTCTATGGAAAATTATGCAGTAGTACTAGGAATCATTGACGATCCCTTTGGAAACTAAACCATGGCATATGCAATGAACTTATACAAGAACATACAGTCTCTACAGAGTATATGTCTAACCTAAAGGGGACCAGGTATGCTCCTAATAGTAAGTATGTATATACAGTAACTCTTCATATATACTTTCTATAGACTGGTTCAGTGGAACTAGCAATTCCATTTTTTTTGCTACATCAGTGAAATTTGATGCAAAAGCAAGTTAAGCAGAAGCTCTTCATACAAGGCTCAAAAATGAATTCCAGACAAATTTGTCTTAAATAAATGCCTACCATACATGCATCAAATAAATGTATATGGGAATGGGCTTGTTGGTGGATGGGTCTATGAAAGACTAGGTGAACCATAGAATTGATGAGAAAAAAAAAAAGTGGGTGGTGCATTGAGGCATCTGTAGAGACCAAGAATGTTATCCATGTAAGTGAAAGGGGGATTGTATAAGAGTGTAGTGGTACCAACATTTATATGGATGTGAAGCATAGGTTGTGAATATTGCAGCGAGAAGGCTGAAGACAGTGGAGGGGTTGCTGAGGTGGTTTGGACATTCGAGAGGATGGAGTGAATAGGATGACTTGGAGGGTATATAAATCTGTAGTGGAGGGAAGGCTGGGTAGGGGATGTCCTAGGAGAGGTTTGGGAAAGAGTGTAAGGGAGGTTTTTTGTGTGTGAGGGGCTTGGACTTCCATCAGACATGTGAGAGTATGTTAGGAGTGAGTGAAGGCAGTGTTTTTTGGGACTTGACGAGCTGTTGGAGTGTGAGCAAGGTAACATTTGTGAAGGGATTCAGGGAAACTGGTTAGCTGAATTTGAGTCCTGGAGGTAGGTAGTACAGTGCCTGCACTCTGAAGGAGGGGTGAGGATATTTGCTGTTTGGAGGGCCATCTGAACTGTTGTATCATCGCACCTCTGGTACGACAGTGATAGATTGAATGATGGTGAAAATGTTTCTTCTTTTTCTGGTTGTCCTGTCTCGGTGCGAGATGGCTGGTCTGTTAAAAAAAAAGTTAAACCACTCATTATGCATGTGTTACGTTCCTGAAAATTGGCGCCATGTGAAAGTTATTAATAAATTTCATATGCAAATTAATAAAATGGCATGCAAGTCAATAGTTACTGCCTTTTAAAAACTTTTCAGTGACAGGCCCTGAAGTAATGGATAAGCTGTTGCTTCATTGCTTTCTGAAGGCTTGGAAAACCTCTGGAAAAAAGGTGGCACTTCCTATCCTTACCAGCAACTTTTACCGCTTGCACATGATTCCTGCTTGTCCAGATGGTACATCGCTGGATATTAAGAAGTCATCATATAAAAAATTGTCGAAGGTAGTTTTCTTGATAGTTGCATGTTATTATTACTTTATGTACTGGTGATTAAATTATTTCTTAATCCTTTAGCACCATTGTACAGTATGTACTGTACACAATTTTGCCTAGAACTGATGTATTGTACTGTGGTATAGAGGGTTGGACCCAATATTTTGTGGAGGGTAGGAGGGACTACATAAGTGATAAAATCTTACATTGTAAAAGAGAGAATATCTTTTGCATTATAACAGTTTTCTTAACCCATATCTCTCTGATATCTCACATGTTCTACTCAGACTGAGTAGAAAATCTGTGCAAATTAAAGACCCAAAAATATGGACTTTTCTACCAGAAGATCTAAAAGTTCCCTATCTGCCAACTCCAATTAAAAATATTGTTAAAAAAAAAAAAAATCCTGAATTTGGTGTAAACTTGTGTAGACCAATAATAAATGTCAAATACTGTACATCTAATGCAACTTGCTTATCCAGAGTCCATTCAGCATTCGTACTCAGAGCTAAGGATTATGAGTAATGAGGAAAGGCTAATGGCATTGAATCTAATGGCCTTGGAGGACAGAAGGAATCAGGGAAGACATGATAACAACATACAAAATACTCAGAGATATTGATAAGGCAGACAGGGTCAGGTTGTTAATGAGGCGGGAAACTGGTACTCGGGTACAGCTGGAAGTTGGTTACAGATGAGTTCACAGGGATGTTAGGAAGTATTTATTCAGTCTCTAAGGTGGTTGGAAAGTGGAATGACCTTGACAGAGTGTTGGAGGCAGATTCCATACATAGTTTTGAGAATAGGCATGATAGGGCCCTTGATGCTAGGAGAGAATCTGGAAATAGGAAAGTTGAGAGGCAAGGCCAGAAACTAAAACTCAACCACTGCAACTACATACAGGTAAGTACTTATTGTCACCATGGTATTTCTATCCCAAATCATTCAAATTATCAATCAGTTTTGTGTTGCTGTCATTTTACATTACATTTCTTTCATATCAAAACTTTTTAACCCTTTCACTGTTGGTGCCGTAACATTATGGCTTACAAGCCAGTGTTGGTGCCGTAGTACTATGCCAAAATTCAAGCGGTTTCAAATCTAGCAGGAGACAGCTGGTAGACCTACATATGAGAGAATGGGTCTGAGTGGTCAGTGTGCACAGTATAAAAAAAATTGTGCAGCATGCAGTGCATAATGAAAAAAAAAAAACTCCGGCAGTGTTTTCGGTTTAAAACACTTGACTTTGCGGTGTATTTTCGTGTGGTATTTATGGTCGTATTCTTGTATTCTTGGTCGCATTTGATAGAATGGAAGATATATTACAGAAATAGAAAGGATTTGAATGGTTTTCCGACTAAAGGTACCTTGAAATTGAGCTCATAGTAGCGGAAATGTTCGATTTTTGCCGATGTTCAAGAGTAAACAAATCACACCACACATCCAATACATATCAAATGATGAATCTGATATTCTTTCACAAATGCACTGATATTATTTATACCAATTTTTACAATAATGCAGTAGTCTCAATAATAGTAAATCTTCTATTTTTTTGTGTGAATAAAAATTCAAAATGAAATCAACCGTAATGTAAGAGGAGCCTGGAGACATGACTAATGAACAGAAAAAATGTTATTTTAGTGCTAGGAATGTCTGCATTGTTTATTCTGTCCCCTATTTTGAAATTAGCCTTGAATTTTATATGAAATTGGCCAAATTACAAATTTCTCATTACTTTATTGGGTAGTTGAAATCAGTAAATGAGCGCTTTCTTGTACTCAATCAATAGAACAAATGGACTTCTAATGAAATAGCTATGAGTTTTGTTGACTGGAACGATGGAATTGGCCAAAAATAGGGCTCAAAGTGGGCAAAATCGCCGATGCATAAATATCGCAGAGACCGCTAACTTCGCGAGAGCGTAATTCCGTAAGTTTTCCATCAAATTTTGTACTTTTGGTATCATTACCATCAAGAAAAGATTCTCTATCATTTCATAAGAAAAATAATTTTTTTTATTTTTGAAAATTTTTCAACACTGAGAGCAAGTTTGTGAGCAGGGGTCTCGGCAGTGAAAGGGTTGAGAGAGTTCCTGTGGAAAGATTCTTGAGTTTTTCACCAATGCAGTGCAGGCACTACTTTCCATTGTCAAACCTCAAGTTCAGTTAACTTCTTTCTCGAAGCCTCTTCTTAACCCTTTCAGGGTCCAGAGGCCAAATTTCCAAGTGTGCACCAGGGTCCAAGAATTTAAAAAAAATTTTTTTGTTATGTTTTCTTATGAAATGGTAGAGAATCTTTTTCTGAAGGTAATAAAACAAAAAGTACGAAATTTGATGGAAAATTGACAAAATTATGTTCTCAGTAATTTTGATGTGTTAGCGATATTTATGCATTGGCGATTTTGCTGAATTTGACTCCCATTTTAGGCCAATTACCTTATTCCAGTTGACCAAATTCTTAGCTATTTCACTGGTATTACTTTTAATCTATCGATAGAGCACAGGAAATTGTCAAGTCAACTGTTTCAACTTCAAAATAAATTGATCAGAAATTGGTAATTTGGCCAATTTAACACAAAGTTCGAAATATTCCAATTTCAAAATAGGGTCCAGAATAAACAGTGCAGGCATTCCTGGCACTAAACTAACATTTCCTCTGTTCATTAGTTACATTTTCAGGCTTTACAAATGAATTCCATTTTGATTTTTTATTCACATAATGAATTTTTATTCAAACCAAAAAATAGAAGATTTACTGTTATGCAATATTGCAATAATTGTATAAATAATATCACCACATTTGTGAATGTATATTAGACCCACCAACTGGTGTGTATTAGACGTGTGAGGTCATTTGTTTATTCTTGAACATTGGCAAAAATTTAACATTTCTGCTACTTTGAGCTCAGCTTCAAGCCATTTCCAGTACTAAAACCAATCAAAATCATCTCTATTTCTGTAATGTATCTTCCATTCTATCAAATGAGACCAAGAAATCGCAAATACAACTATAAAAAACATATGAAAAACACTGCAAATTCGCTGTTTTAATAAAAAAATATGGTCTGTTTTTTCTCTCATTATGTACTGTGTGCTGCAGGATTTGTTTTATGTGGTGCACACATACCACATAGATGTATTCTCTCATATCTAGGCCCAAATTTACAGCTCACAGCTTATCAGAGTGAGCTGAGCTCATGGCGTAGATCTACGGTTTGGACCCTCAACTCAAAGCCATAGAACTACAGCATGGACCCTGAAAGGATTAAAGAGAAAGCCAGATCTTTAAAGAAAAAAACATAATGTCATTGTTTTACTTTTTGTTCTGTGGCCATCTGCCTCCTTCAGTGTATAATTTTTAGGTCAGTAAAAACTGTTGACAGTTTTGCTTGCTGCAGGTGAATATAGAATTTCTTAACATAAAAGTCAAATGAGAAATTTTCAAGTAAATTCCTTGTAAATATTAAAGTTGTTTGTATATATTGCAATATTACATGTTAACTCCACAAGAAACACTAGTTTTCTAGTAGTGGTTAAGGTAAAAAACTGAAGATCTATGTAAAAAAAAAGATTAAGTATCATATCAACTGCAAACTTTTTCATTTCAGTTTTTAAATTCAATGGCCAAGAAAGAATTAATCCAAGTGAAAGAGTTTCCTAAAGGGATAGAAAATATTACGGCAGTGAACTGGGCTCATGAAGACATAAAATCTTTTACTGTTGATCAGGTTAGTACAGTGGATATGTAAAAAGTGTGTCCAGGTTATACGAGGCATTGTGCAGCTGAAAAGAATAAGCACCAAATTCAACCATTGGAGAGTATTGCAGGCGTGTGGGAGAGCTGAGCTATGAAATTCAAGTTATCACACTTTATGGGGCTCTGAGCCTAGCTTAAAAATGCAGAAAATAATTCAGTAGAGCCCTACTTATACGGCAGGTTAGGTTTCAGGCTACCACTGTACAGCGGAAATTGCTGTAAAGTGGAACATCCTTTTTTTTTTTTACTTATAAATGCATATTAAGGCTAGATAACAGGTTCACACTAACATATATTAAGTTAGCAATAGAATTAGGCATTAAAAAACACAATAAAAAGTAAAATACGCACACACAGTACACTTGTTACTTTTTTTTTTTTAACAAGTCGGCCGTCTCCCACCGAGGCAGGGTGATCCAAAAAGAAAATCCCCGAAAAGAATTTTTTTTTTTCAACAAGTCAGCCATCTCCTACTGAGGCAGGGTGACCCAAAAAGAAAGAAAATCTCCAAAAAGAAAATACTTTCATCATCATTCAACACTTTCACCTCACTTACACATAATCACTGTTTTTGCAGAGGTGCTCAGAACACAACAGTTTAGAAGCATATACGTATAAAGATACAAAACATATCCCTCCAAACCGCTAATATCCCGAACCATCAAAGTAGAATGACATGGAAAGCATTTAAATCTGTAGGGGAAGGAAGGCGGGGTAGGGGTCGTCCTCGAAAAGGTTGGAAGGAAGGGGTAAGAGAGGTTTTGTGGGCGAGGGGCTTGGACTTCCAGCAGGCGTGCGTGAGCGTGTTCGATAGGAGTGAATGGAGACGAATGGTATTTGGGACCTGACGATCTGTTGGAGTGTGAGCAGGGTAATATTTAGTGAAGGGATTCAGGGAAACCGGTTAATTTTATATAGCCGGACTTGAGTCCTGGAAATGGGAAGTACAATGCCTGCGCTCTAAAGGAGGGGTTCGGGATATTGACAGTTTGGAGGGATATGTTGTGTATCTTTATACGTATATGCTTCTAAGCTGTTGTGTTCTGAGCACCTCTGCAAAAACAGTGATTATGTGTGAGTGAGGTGAAAGTGTTGAATAATGATGAAAGTATATAAAAAGAAAATACTTTAATCATTATTCAACACTTTCACCTCACTCACACATTATCACTGTTTTTGCAGAGGTGCTCAGGACACAACAGCTTAGAAGCATATATGTATAAAGATACACAACATATCCCTCCAAACTGTCAATATCCCGAACCCCTTCTTTCGAGTGCAGGCATTGTACTTCCCATTTCCAGGACTCAAGTCCAGCTATATAAAAATAATCAGTTTCCCTGAATCCCTTCACTAAATATTACCCTCCTCGCACTCCAACAGATCGTCAGGTCCCAAATACCATTCGTCTCCATTCACTCCTATTGAACACGCTCACGCACGCCTGCTGGAAGTCAAAGCCCTTCGCCCACAAAACCTCCCTTTCCCCTTCCTTCCAACCTTTTCGAGGATGACCCCTACCCCGCCTTCCTTCCCCTACAGATTTAAATGCTTTCCATGTCATTTTACTTTGATCCATTCTCTCTAAATGATCAAACCCCTCTTCAGCCCTCTGACTAATACTTTTATTAACTCCACACCTTCACTATCTCATTTACTCACCCCTGACTCTACATTAAGACTACAAATATTTTAAGGTAATTAATGAGTGAACTGTGTATGCATTTTATCGCTCTGGGATGCTTAAATGTCGTAGTATATTATGTGTGGGTGGAATGGCCTGGTATGGTAGCCTGCCTGGCTACCATACATACCACACCTGATTTCTTACAATAAATACTACTCGTCTCACCCTAGATTAGGACTACAAATATTTTAAGGTAAGTAATGTTACAGCGAGGAGAAGGCTGGAGGCAGTGGAGATGTCATGTCTGAGGGCAATGTGTGGTGTGAATATAATGCAGAGAATTCGTAGTTTGGAAGTTAGCAGGAGGTGCGGGATTACCAAAACTGTTGTCCAGAGGGCTGAGGAAGGGTTGTTGAGGTGGTTCGGACATGTAGAGAGAATGGAGCGAAACAGAATGACTTCAAGAATGTATCAGTCTGTAGTGGAAGGAATGTGGGGTAGGGGTCGGCCTAGAAAAGGTTGGAGGGAGGAGGTAAAGGAGGTTTTGTGTGCGAGGGACTTGGACTTCCAGCAGGCATGCGTGAGCGTGTTTGATTGGAGTGAATGGAGACAAATGGTTTTTAATACTTGACGTGCTGTTGGAGTGTGAGCAAAGTAACATTTATGAAGGGATTCAGGGAAACCGGCAGGCCGGACTTGAGTCCTGGAGATGGGAAGTACAGTGCCTGCACTCTGAAGGAGGGGTGTTAATGTTGCAGTTTAAAAACCGTAGTGTAAAGCACCCTTCTGGCAAGACAGTGATGGAGTGAATGATGGTGAAAGTTTTTCTTTTTCGGGCCACCCTGCCTTGGTGGGAGTCGGCCAGTGTGATAATAAAAAAAAATAATAAGTAATGAGTGAACTGTATATGTATTTTATTGCTGTGGGATGCTTAACCCCTTGACTGTTGCAACCCCAAATCCTGAGGTGTCTCCTGGTGTCGCAAAATTTCTGAAAAAAAGTAATTTTTTCTTATGAAATGATAGAGAATCTTTTCCCGATTGTAATGACACCAAAAAGAACGAAATTTGATGGAAAACTGATGGAATTACGCTCTCACGAAGTTAGCGACCTTGGCGATACTTATGAATCGGCGATTTCGCCCACATTGAGCCCTCTTTTTGGCTAATTCCATTGTTCCAGTAGACCAAACTCATAGCTATTTCTTTAGAACTCCATTTTTTCTATCAATTGAGTATACGAGAAACTGCCCATTTACTGATTTCAACTACCCAATAATGTGGTCAGAAATTTGCAATTTGACCAATTTCACGAAAATTAAAAAATATGACAATTTCAAAATAGGGTCCAGAATGAACAATGCAGACATTCCTGGCTCTAAAATAACATTTTCTTTGTTCATCAGTCACATCTCCAGGCCCCTCTGATATTACTCTTGCTTTCTATTTTGAATTTTTATTTAAACAAAAATGGAAGATTTACTGTTATGCAGACTACTGCAATATTATGATAATTGTATAAATAATGTCAACCCATTCATGACTGCATATTAGAATGGCTACTTGGACATTTATTGGAAAATGACATCATTTGTTTACTTTTGAACATCGGCAAAAATCAAACATTTCCCCTACTTTGAGCTGCATTTCAAGGTTCTTTTCATAGTAAAACCAATCAAAATCACCTCTATTTCTATAATATGTTTTCCATTCTATCAAATACGACAAAGAAAACGAGAATACAACCATAAATACTATACGAAAATAGACCACAAAGTTGGCATTTTAATTAAAAAACGTCTGTTTTTTTTCTCATTATGCACTGCGTGCTGCAGGATTTTTTTTATATGGTGCACACTGACCACACAGACCCATTCTCTCACATGTGGGCCTACCAGCTTTCTCCTGCTTGATTTGAAGCCGCTAGAATTTGAGTATACATACGTCAAAAACAGTGGCTCGTAAGATGTATATATACGACTGAAACAGTCAAAGGGTTAAATGTCATAGAATATTATGTGCGGGTGGAATGGCCTGGTATAGAATATTATGTGTGGGTGGAATGGCCTGGTATGGTAGCCTGGCTGGCTTCCATACATAGCACACCTGATTTCTTACAATAAATACTACTCATCTCACCCTAGATTAAGACTATAAATATTTTAAAGTAAGTAATGAGTGTACTATATGTGTATTTTACTTTTTTATTGTTTTTTAATGCCTAGTTCTATTGCTAACTTAATATATGTTCGTGTAAACTTGTTACCTAGTATTTGTATGCATTTATAAGTGGGAGAAAAAAGGTGTGCCACTTTACCGCGATTTCCGCTTTACGGCTGTAGCCTGGAACCTAACCTGCCGTATGAGTGGGGCCCTACTGTATAGCGAGTTTTGGTCATAATTTGAAATGTCCGTATTAGCGGAAAGCCGCAAAGCGAAACACCATAAAGTGAGGCCCTACTGTATCTATACATTCCCACAAAGTCAAAATATTAAGGAATAGAGTTGTAAAGCAAAAGGACACAAATACAACTAATGTGACATTTTATTGTGGCAACGTTTTGCTCTCCAGGAACTTTATCAAGCCATAACGGCTTGGCAAAGCTCCTGGAGAGCGAAACGTTGCAACAATAAAATGTCACATTAGTTGCACTTGTGTCCTTTTACTTTACATATTGTCGGTAATTCTACCAACATTATTACAAGGAATAGAGTTGTTCATTTGGATTTTGGCTTTGGTGGAGCTTATTCTTTTCTTCAGCTGCTCAGTGCCTTTTGTAGTTAAGAAAACCATTACTATAACACAATGAAGGTAACAGTGTGTTTGAAGAATTTAAACACATTTGCAACAACTGGGTAGCTTTATTATGTAAACGTTCCACCAGCCAGTGACTTCATCAGTACAATACAGGGACAAACAGAAGACTGAAGAGGTTGAAGATGAGGTAATCAGTCCCTCAGCCTAGGAGCAGGCATTTAGTACCGTAATCTTGATGAATGTAAAACACAGAAGGAAGTGGGTTTATTTACTGGAGTCAAAGGAGCTACAGCAGATGAAGGCATTGTCACTGGTAGGTGAGATTTCCCAGTGGAAATAGGTCACACCCAAGAGTTGAGCCAGTGGTAGTTAGTTGTGGAGATGCCCTCTTTACCAAGATTCCATATTGTTATGTCTGACATGTATCATAATATCAGTGGTATATACTATTGACAAGTTGAAAGAATTAGACATGCAACAACTATCATTATTATGTAGATGTTTCACCAGCCAGTGGCTTTTATCTATAATGTACAGGGACTAAAACATGCATCTAATTCCTCAACTTGTCAGTATTATATACCACT